AAAAAAATATCCAGCACCTTCAGATATTGATAGCATCATCTGTGCTGAAATTCCCGACCCCATTGTTCATCCTAAATTATACAGTTTAGTTAAGGCGAACACGATGCATGGTCCTTGTGGGTTATCAAGAATGAATTCTCCGTGCATGAAAAATGAAAAATGCACTAAATACTTCCCTTAAAAGTTCATTGAACATACTGTTGTTGATGCTGATGGCTATCCCTTATACAAAATAAGATCTCAATCGCATGTTATAAAAAAAAGGAATTACATTGGACAATCGACATGTTGTCTCGTATAATACGAGATTTGTTTTGAAATATCATACACATATAAACATGGAATGGTGTAACCAAAGTACATCCATCAAATATCTTTTCAAATATATAAATAAGGATATGATAGAATAACAATGTCTGTTTCTGGAAATGACACCGAACACATTGATGAAATCAAATAATATCTGGACTGCAGATATATTTCCTCGAGTGAAGCATGTTGGCGGATTTACTCTTACAACATTCATGGGAGAAAACCTGCGGTGGAGCATATGTTTTATCATTTAGTGGGTGAGAAGGTTGTTTACTATACAGATCACGATCAAATGGAAAATATTTTGGAAAATGCAAGTGTGACTGAGTCTATGTTTACTGCATGGCTGGTCGCAAATGCATAATATGAAGAAGCCCGGTCACTGACTTATGCTCAGTTTGTCTCAAAGTTTGTTTACGACAAAGGAAATAGGGTCTAGAGGCCACACAAAAGAGGGTTCACAATAGGTCGTTTGGTATGGGTTACCCCGACTACTGGAGAATTCTTTTATTTGAGGATGATGTTGACAATAGTCAAGGGACCTACAAGTTATGAAGATATTCGGAAAGTTGGGGACAACCAATATGATACATTTAGAGATTCGTGCTTTTCTATGGGCTTTCTCGATGACGATAATAAATTGTTGCTATCAAGGAAGCAAGTGAGTGGGGTTCAGGATATTTTCTTCACAAACTTTTTATTGTAATGCTACTGTCGGGTGTTGTTAACCGGCCAACACATGTCTGAACAAAATCGTGGCAATTGTTGTCCGATGGTATTTTGCATTGCCAAATATTATTAGCTCTAAATCCAAGTTTCTTCATATCTCAGTCACACTTATTTATGCAGACTATTTATTATGCTGCAACCTTACTTTCAGCATGCTGCCGCCGCAGGCATGCATGTATTTTTGTTGAACTCATGTCTAGTCTAACTACTTAAAAACTTTGTTTTACATCCTGCATCCGTACATATTTGGCTTTGATAGAAACTGAATTACAGAGTCTGACTTTAATAGAAATTGAAAAGCTAATGCAGGAAAATAGAAGGACTCTCAAAGATTTTAGTCCAATTCCATATCCAGACACCTATGTAGTATATCAGTTAGGAAATAGGTTCATATATGATTAACTAATTATGATTCTGCAGCTATGAAATTGGAATTTATGAAACTGTTCAATGCTTTTACTGGTAATTCTTCAAATTTGTTTTCTTATGTTAAACATTACCATTGTCCTCCTGGATTTTTTATTTTACCTGTTCCTTTTCAACATTTATTAGATGAACAAAAAGGCGTATATCAAAAAATTATGGGGGCTGTCCAGTCCCAGAGTGGGGGTGTCTTCTTCTTTCATGGTTACGGCAGTACTGGTAAGACCTATATGTGGAGAACCCTGGCAGCAACTTTGAGGCACAAACATGAAATATGTTTAACGGTTGCCACCAATGGTATAGCTTCTTTGTTATTACCAGGGGGTAGAACTGCACATTCCAAGTTTAAGATACATGTACCGACGCTTGATAATTCCACTTGCAAAGTTGAATACAACAATGATATTGCAGACCTTCTAAGACAGACAAGGATAATTATATGGGACGAAGCACCGATGGCACACAAGCATGCTATAAAAGCACTTGACAAAACTTTGAAAGATGTTATGAGTACGTACAATAATTCTGAGGATATGTTTGGTGGAAAGGTTGTAGTTTTCGGTGGCGACTTTAGACAAATTTTGCCTGTTATCCCACGAGGCAGCCCTTTGGATATTGTTCACTCGGCAATAAATGCATCTTACATATGGCATTCAGTTCAGGTTTTAACGCTAACAAAAAACATGCGTTTGCATTCTGGTACGACAGAGCAAGATAAGAAGGAAATTGTAGATTTTTCAGATTGGATTTTGAGAATCGATGAAGGCAAAGTATCAGAGCCTAATGACGGTGTTGTAGAAATTGACATTCCCCCCGAACTTTTGATCATAGACTTTCATAATCCTATTGTTGGCATTGTGAATAGTACATATCATGATTTCATTAATAATAATCATTCCAGCGATTACCTCCGGGGTCGAGCAATTCTAGCTTCGACGTTAGAAGTTGTGGATGACATTAACGACCACATTCTTGCTTTAATGCCAAGTTGTCATATTATTCCATTTTTCTTACTCTCTAATATACATTGACTTCTATTTGTTAATTTATTTATGTTCTGAAAATAGGAAACATACACGAGTACTACAGTTCAAATACAATTGATAAGTCCAAAATTCATGACGCGAAAGTGCTTGACATCCTGGCACTGGAATTCCTTAGTTCCCTACGTACATCAGGTTTGCCTAACCATCACTTAAAGTTAAAAGTTGGAACACCGATTATGCTAATGCGGAACATCGACCAGTCTGAAGGTTTGTGTAACGGCACAAGGTTAATCATAAAAAACATGGAAAACCATGTCCTTGAAGCTTCAATAATGTCAGAAAAGGCTTCTGGAAATTTGGTTTACATCCCTAGGATGGATATGTCACCGTCACAGTCACCATAGCCGTTCAAGTTAAATATATGACAATTCCCAATTATTGTCTCATATGCCATGACGATTAACAAATCGCAAGGACAATCTTTGGATAACATAGGTCTCTACTTGCCAAGAGATATATTTACCCATGGTCAAATTTATGTTGCACTATCGAGGGTCACAACAAAACAAGGAATCAAAATATTGATGAACATGGAAAGTTCAAAGTAACAACTACAAATGTTGTTTACAAGGAAGTTTTCGGCAATATATGATTATTCAAATATTAGGTACGCTTTTATGTTACTGTGCATTATTTTCTTTAGTCTTTAGTATGTGTAATACACGAGTTTGTAACCTCACTATTCGGTATATTTAGGAATTACTATTATGCATCTTCTGTAAAAAAAAATATATGTTCCTTTTATATTTTTGAACACACACCAATTTTGTTTGATTATTATACCATTTAATTTCGACATTTAATTTTGGACTGTTGAGCATAACATTCTCTGTGTAATAGTTTGTAGTAAAACATAATCCTTTTTTGACATTAATTGAAAAATAGAACTCTTTGAAAAGAATTAGAAGCTAAATATTGTAATAAAATAGAGGTTTTATAGTAATAGTTTTTTCATAAGAACACACTGCATTTCATATCAATGTTACTTAGACGATATCTTCAATACGTTGGATAGCATATCATCCACACTACTTTCTTTATGCTTCATGTTACTGTCATACTATATAACTATAAAACGGTCTGTTGAACTCATGTTGTTACTTTTGCTATTATAACATCAATTATATAGATATTTTACCGTATAATGGTTATCATATCAAAATCCATATAACCAAACTTTAAATATTTCATAACACACAATATTTACTAAATACTTGACCGTAAGCAAGTCAGATGTTCAAACCGTATAAATATAAAGACACGTAGTAAACATAAAAAAAATAAACACACAGCTGATCCTTCTTTCCATTACATATCCAACATAATCTGTTTCATTGTCTCTTCTTTCCCGACTCAACATATACCAATATTTCATCGACTGACGGATATCGAATGCAAAAGTGCATGATGTCTCCTTTCTTTAATTCTTCCTGTTTAGAAAATTCATACCAACCAGTCGTGAGATACTTCTCGCCTTCATCATTATTCCTCACTTTCACTACACAATTCTCTGAGATATCCTTCTCCGAATTATATAACTCAATCGAACTGACCGGTCCACTAAGAGACTTCTTAATCACTTCTTAAATATTTGGCCAATATGTTTGTTTCAAAACATATGGTATTTTTGTTTCTTTTGAATGTCTTTACAAAAATTATTTTGTGTATCGTTAAACTTATATATATTTTAAAATACTGTCTTATCTTATAATTAAGTATGTTTGTTTCCTATAATTTTGTTATTATCATTATGTAACAATTATAATTAATGTACCTATAAGGGAAAATGCTTGACAAAACTTATGATCTTTTGTTTTGCGCTTTAAAAGAGGTTTATATGTTTTCCATTTCCAACCATCATTTATTTTTCATTTTCCCTTTTTACCTTGTATTTATAAATATCAATCAAATTTATTTATTCTTTTTTTTGTTGAATGTATTTTTTATTACTCCGCTTACCCTTTAAACCAATATTTATAAAGCTAAATTATTTTGTAAAACTACGTTATATTGTGATGATTTTTTTTCCGTACATAAACATCAATTAATTCTGAAAATAACATATTGTCTTTTTCGTTCAATCAATTATTTCAACAAATGAACGTGCCCGACTAATACCCATACAAACGCACAGATATCCTACTAGTTTTTTATAAAATCAAACAATAGAACATATCATAGTTCCAATTCATTCAATTCCCTCCGTTTCCATAAATCGAAAGATACTCCAACAAAATTTTACATTGTAAATATCATTCTTTCCAATTTTCAAATTTGTCAAATTTAACTGTCAAGTTTGAAACATAAAATGAGAACAACCTTTGTGATTCTCCCATATATTTAATTCATAGCATTTACAAATCAAATTCAAAAGAATTGCAAAATAAGTAGACAAAATATCATATGTAAAGAACAATTCCTTACATGTGAGCCCTATGCATATACATCAACAAATTGAAAAACATTATCCTAACAAAACAAAAAACAAGATCAATTCCCAATCTCATCACCATCACTAGGGCTTGATGGAGAAACATTTGAATCACCACCAGAAGTGGGTTGATTTTGATCATGATTTCCCCTATTCCTCCTACTAATAGAAAAACTAACCCAAACTTCCCCACCAACCCTCCTTCTCTCTCCACCTTCTTCTGCTTCTTCCTCTTCGTCTATTTTCTTTCCCTCATCTTTCTCATCAGCAGGCATCTGATACCTATAAACAGGACAAGACCCATGAATCCCTAACCACTTCTCAATACAATCACAATAAAACCTATGCTCACGTGGCATTTCTCTAACAACCCCACCAACCTCAAACTCTTCCAAACAAACAACACACTCTCTGTGATCGCTTTCTTCAATTTCAACCCTTTTCATAGCTTTTATCGACTCCTTTGAAGCTGGTGCTGACCCTTCTTTGTAGTATTTTCAAGTTCCTGAAACAGGGTTTCGAGACTTAATACTCCTTCCACTATAATCATGCGCTGTGTGGAAGGATTCACCAAGATGATTCTTTGATGGTTGGAATCTTCGTTATTCGACGATTCTTGATCTGGGTTGTGGTCGGTGTTTCTTCGAGTTGAAGAGACAGGAGAAAGACCTTGGATGAAGGATAACAAGAGAGACATGTCTCTGTTTCTGATCATTCTTTCGAAGATATACGAAAGTTCGGAGTTTTCACCTTCGAAAGCCATCAAAACAAATCAACTCAAATGAAAAACTTTTGTGAGAGAGAGAGAGAAAAAAGAGAATAAAGAGAAAAAGTAAAAGATTGATGAATAAATTTAGCGTGAAAAAACAAGAGATTTATTTTTAAAATTTATCTAATAATAACTAATATAGTTTTTTTAATTATTGATTTTAAATTTTCAACAAATATTTTATAAAAAAAAATATGTTTTTATAGATAGACTCTAAACAACCGCTTACATTATTCAAGTTTAATTATTAAATGAATATAAAAATTAAAATTTATAATAAAAAAAGTTGAATGTTCTGTTATATATATACCGCCTATAAAATCGTTCTTTCATTTTAAAATTATTTTAATTAGAGGTTTTTATTATAATTTAAATGAAAATCAACATGTTTTTTTTAGGATATCAGTTTATTAACTTGTATATTTAAGAATGATTTTTTAAAACTTTATATTTATTTTATAGTTCAAATATCTTATTTTTTATTTTTAGTCCTTATAAAAGAATTTAATCTCTATAAAAATTTTATGTATGTAGTTTTATTTTTATTATTTTTTAAAATTTTTAAAATTATTTAATTATTTTTAAATTTTTAAATAATTTTTATCACATATATTTAGAATATTATAAAATATTTTTTTACTAAATTTTAAATTTTTTTAAAATGAGAAGAATTAAATATAATTTTTTTTAAATTTTATAAGATAATGATAAAAGTAATAAAATATGTGACTTAGAAATCAAATTTTAAATTTCTTTTTTATTCGATGAACTTTTTATAATGTTTTAAATATATCTGTAAAATAATTATTTAAAAATATGTATTAATTTAACAAAAGAGATTAAAACTACGTGTATAATAATTTTGTAAAGTTTAAAATATTTAATATTTTTTATAGGAATCAAAAATAAACTTTGATAATTATATAGGAACGAAAAATACATTTAATTTTTTATTTTATATAAATAAAATATTAAATAAAAACTAAAATTATACTCTTTTTAATCATTATATAAAAAAAGAATTATTTTTAAATCAATTTAATAATTGATATATGTGGTTAATATATAGATCAGTTAATTGTATTTCATATATTTTCATCGTCTTATACATCTTTTTAAAGTAATTCAAGTTTAATCAGAATAAAATTTCGGTTCTACATATAAATCGCTAAAGCGATTCGACATTGCATGTAAATTTTATGGACAAATTACTTTGATTTTTGACTTGTACGAAGCTGTTTTATGAAACTCTAATGCATGTAGGTCGTGTTGGTGTGCTCGTTTTATTTTTTTCGATTCTGTTTACGGTTGTATTTTGATCATTTAAAACCTATTTAATCGGGTGTTTTTACTTGTGATTTTGAATATTTCTGAACGTTTTTACTTAACTTCATTGCACGTAGATCGCGTTACTATGTTCATTTTTATTTTTGGACTTTTGCACGCGTTCGAATTTTGTATGATTAAGGTATTTTCGATCCTTTTCATTTTCATTTAAATTAACTGAGAAAATTAAAAAATATTGCACTTTAGTTTTATGTTGTTTCTGATTTCGTTTAATTGAAAATAGTTGAGCCTTGAGGGCATTTATGGGTTTTGATTTTGATGTAGAAAGTCCTAATTTATTACTATTTAACTAGCAAAGTTGACTGAGATAAGGATTCATCCAATTGAATTTCACCTCCTTCTCTCAATTTCGATCCCAAATCATGAACCTATCCACACATATCATACTCTCTCTCAAGAACCAATAGATCACGACCACACATACCCTTCTCTTTTAACCAATAACCAATAGAAAACCCTCATTTCAAAAGGAAAAGACCAAAAAACCGAAATATAGTGGGATGACTTCTCGACAAGTATATCAATAATGTCGCAGTAATAAAAATATTGATTTATAGGGACTGCAATTTAACAAGAAAAATATTTTGCAAATATAAATTGGGGGATTTTTCGAGTTTTAAGGCGGAAAAATATTAAAAGGTTGTTCTGATAATTATACGAAAACAGTTAGATTTTGTTGTAGAATCCGTTAATTCTCTATTGTTGATGTCTAATGCATTGCATAATTAATATTATTATTATTCCATGACGGATTAACAAAATCGATATACCTAATCTCTTGGTGTATAGCTCACTAATATATATTGAAGCTTCTTATCACTAGTCCACCCGCGTAAGCAAGATTAGGCAATGAAATAGAACGTTAATCCCTAAGCCATTACTCGAGGTCTCCTATTCCAATTCAACTGGCGCAAGCACAACAATTTCCCTAGATTTAATGCATAGACAAATGACTAGTATTCCCTATGCACTCAAAATCAGATTAAAAGAGTATCTCACATAAAAAAAAACATTAAGAACAAGGTGAAATTGAATAAAATAATAACTTCAATAAATTATGCAATATCAAATCAAATATGTATTCTAACAATATTGAAAAAGGTTCATCAAAACAAAACCTAACCTACGAGTATTTAGCTACTCATAATTCAAATTACAATACCAATAAATTATATGAGAGTTGCATAAAAGATCCCTTGAAGAACTGACCTCTAATGACTCCAAATATACTCTAAATATTCCTTTCGTTGTTGTAAAATCGTACACGCGGTGTAAGATCGCATAATCCTTGAAAAAGTGCCAAAAACTCCCTTTTAAAGATGTTGGTGAGTGCCAGAACGCGTCAAAATTGGCCAAGAAAAAAGGCCCATCGTGCACACGACAATCTGCATCGCGCACACAATGAAACTTATCCAAGCCCATCGAGCACGTGGCTGCGTGCAATGCCATCATTATTATTCCAGTGACTGACACACATTTTGTCCCTTTTCAACCAAATTTCCCCCAAGTCTCTATTTCTCCATACCTTGTCTGTTTTGCTCCATTCTTGGGCTATTCTTCATCAAATAAAGTAATCTTTGGGTCAATTTTCTCCATTTCTTCAACTGAATATATGTAATTACAGAGTGTCATCATAACTTCAAAGTTAATATGTTGCTTGTCCTCAAGTAACCTGCCTGCAACTGACAATTCCAAACAGAAACACAAAATACAACAACAACAACAATTGAACACCAACCTAATTATTTATATCTGATCACCAATTCTAGATTCTAACTTCAATCCAGAAAAATCAGGAAACTTCGTCAACTTTTAGAAAGTACTGAACTTATCTCTCATCTCACTATAATTCGCTCAATTGACAGGGTGATCACTTAATCAACATTCATAACTACTTATATTGAGTTTGATCACGTTCTAATAAAATTCTTCACAAAAATCAAAACACACACACACTTTGAGGATTTTTTTGGATGTAACGTGGCTTAGGTTCAGTGAGGATATTTTTGAGAAAGTAGATTTAAATTTTTGGAGTTAGGTTCCTAGTTCTCCTATCAGTATCATACCTATTTTTTTCCTTCTGACTGGTACTAGAGATTTATTCATTTTTGTTGGTCTCTTTATTTTTCATTTTTTTTCTCTTTTTTTTAAAAGAAATTATTTTAAATTCTTGATTTTTCTCAACACTTTTAGAAATTTCTGACCATTATCTCTACCATCCCAATCTCAAACTTGAACTTTGCTCACTTCCAAGAGCAACCTCAAACTTGTTCTTTTGTCTATGATAGGAAATCTTAAATTATTCTACCTAACTCTAAAGATGGGGTGGAAAGATTAATTCTTTCAAGTTAATTGGCAAACAATTATGGTTTTGTCACCGAAACAAAAAGGCTTAGGCTCAAAGTGGTTAGCAAATGATATATAACAATATAACATATTTACTTAAAAGGCTCAAAGTTTAAACAAAAAACCGCTTCGATGTGTGTAAATCAAACTAGATAAATAAAATCGAACATAGATCAAACCTGATAAAACAGTAAAATATGGATACACTCAAAGAAAGAGTTGGTAAACAATGGAAGTATTTGGCTCAAACCTTACTAACTGAGGTATATGGAGATTGAGTACAAGCTTGTCGATTTTGTTTCCATCTTTTGCTTTCTCTTAGTAAGTCACCTTCTTGACGATCAAGCTTTTTTCTGAAGGTGTTTTTTTGGATTATTTGTTCAATGCTATAGATGTACTTATTTGTAAATTTGAAAGAAATAACAGAAGCAAACATGTTTATTAATTTCACCCAATTAAAAAAAATTCAAAAGGGAAGAGTACTTATAAGTAGCCGTTACTCTTCATTAACTCCTAGAAATTTAATGACTTTGTTGAAAATATAAAATACCAAATATTCTTTTTAATTATGAATTATCGCCAAAAAAGTCTTGCATATCATTCATTGTGTTGTTGAAGTCGTCATTTTGTCTTGCCCATTCTGTTCTCATTTGTTCTCTTCTTATTTATTGTTCTCTGTTTTGTGCTTGGAAGTAATTCTACATGTCTTCAGCGGTTGCAAAACAAACTCTCAAATTCTTTGATGGCATGTGATCTTGCTTTTGATTATAGAAATTTGTGAATATTGAATCAAAGTGTGGGGGCTCAGAGTATAGATTTGGAGGAATACTTGTTGCCCATCTTGTGATTCCCACCACACGCGCTTCCATTCTTTATTTCAAATTTAGAACTTTGTTGATTGTTTTACATTTGTGCCTCGTGATTTTGAATGTCTGGCTGGTAGAATCCTTCATTATTGTCTGCTTGGTTGTTGTTTTTCTTTGGTTGGACTCTCATTTGCATGCGTTGGATTCTCCCAATAGCTGAAGCGTTGATTGATGCTTTCAGAACGGTCGTCTTGTCATCTAGATGCGTAGAAACTCCAGCTAACATGCACAAGTCGTTAATAATACAAAAGTGCCCACAAGCTTTTTGGGCAGCGTCAACCATATATTTAGCAAAAATAATTCCTACATCTATAGATTCACCATTCAACAGAGCTAGCAGTCATAAACACCACTACTATAAATTGCGACTGATTATAAGCCGCTTCTAATGTTTGAACAAAGAAAGATGCTCAAACTCTCGAGATTGGAAAGAAATCAACAATTTTTAACCGCAAACAAAGGTTATTTTCAACCACTCAATCTGTCCTAGGGTGTACACAGAATATTAAAAATCTTTTGAGCCACGAGTTCGTGCATAATATGGTGCTCGTCCCTTTTTGCCTTAATACCACAAAGCATAGGGGAGGGTCAAGAAAAAGAAGAACATTAATTTTATCGTGAGATTAGTCAATATATTTACCTCACACATATAACATGTAAGAGGTTGAGTGTTGAAAAACTACATTGACATAAAATTCTAAAGTGATAGATTTATTTGCATATTTAATTGTCATTAAACCTTTATGTGATTTAAACTTGGTTTCATTGAGACATATCATTAAATCTTAACCATCAAAATAATTGTTGCTGCTCAAAGCCATATATATTTAAAACATCTAAAATATTTATAATATTTTATGGTCTTTGTAAATTTAAAACATATAAACTATATAATTGATAAACAAAAACTATATAAAAAACTATATATCGATAATAAAGTAAAAAAGAATTATTCAATTAAAATATTAATACAAAATTTTGCACCCTTTCACCCAGAATCATGGCTCCGCCACCGACCATCAGCATTACCATCATCCCCACCATTCCACCTTATTTTTCTTCTTCTTTCTCATCAAATAGGCATATGATACCTACAAACAGGACAAGATCCATGAATCCTTAACCACTTCTCAATACAGTTACCATGAAACCTATGCTTACAAGGCATTTCTTTAACAACTCCATCAACCTCAAATTGTTCCAAACAAACAACACACTCTCGATCTTCACCTTCAAAAACTTCAACCCTTTTCATCGTTTCTATTGACTTTGTTGAAGCTGGTGGTTGACCATTATTTGTAGTACTTCCAAGCTCATGAAACAAAGCTTCAAGATTTGAAACTCCTTCGATTAAAACCACGCGCCGTGTAGAAGGGTTCACCAAGATGATTATTTGACGGTTGGAATCAACGTTACTTGACAATTCTTGATCTGGGTCGTCGTCTGTGTTTCTTCGAATTGACAAATCAAAAAGACGAGACATGAAGGGAAAGAACAGAGACAACATGTCTCTTGTTCTTATCATTCTTTCAAACAAATAGGAAAGTTCATATGCCATGTCTCTAACTCTTCTTATCATGTTGTACAGAGAATAATGTTGGGGTACTTCAGTTTCAGATGCCATGAATTCAATTCAAATAACTTCAACAAAAAATACTTTTATCAGAGAAAAAATAGAAGTGAGATAAATAAATTCAACAATATGGAAGGATATGAAACTGTCTCATAAGTATGTGTTGTGATTTAGGATATGAAACTTGTTTATGATTCAGACGATTATTCTTAATCCATAATTGAATTCAACACAGTGTGACACCATATAATATGCTATAAAACGATGGTAAAATGAAAAAAATAAATAAAAACTTACTAGTTCTTGCGAGTCTCTCGTTTTCTTGATTTCTTCTCCTTTAATTTTTTTCTCTCCTTTCTTTCTAAATTCTTAAACTCTTATTTATAGCCAAATTTTTAGATTTAGATGTTAACGGATCAATAAATCCAACTTTCATGAAAAGATTGATCCTTAAAAAAATCAATCAAATCAAATTATTATTTATGAAAAGATTTAAATCAGTTTATTATTTTTTCCATTCCTTTTTAATTTTTATATTTTAATTTTTTTATATATATTAAAAAAGTTAATGATAATTATTATTTTTCATTTTATGATTTTTATTTTGCCTACAATATTTCTAACTTTTAACTATTTTAACATTTTTTTTCTCTTCATAATAAATAGTTAAAAATAATTTTAACAAAATTGTAATCGTTACTCTATCAGAAGGAGTAATTCAAATGAAAAGATTCAAATAAATCTATTAGTCTATTAATCTATTAGTCTATTAATGAAAATAAAAAGATATAACTTGGATTTTGTTTAATTTCATTAATTAGCTTTTTATTATTATTTATTACCATAATATTTTTTAATTAAAAGTAATCATTTTATTTGGGTTTAAAGTTCAAAAGTGACCGTCACAATAATGTGTATGTTACTACTTTTTAGTTAAATTTATTGTTACTACTTTTTAGTTAAATTTATTGTTACTACTTTATTTATAAAAATAAATAATATATACAAAAATAATTGTCAAATAGATGGACCAAAAATTACAGACATAAAACTCAACAATTTTCACGTGTTTTAGAGAGAGAAGACGTGACCTCTTTCTAGAAAATTTAGCATTCTCTCTCTCCAATCTTGACGTTTGGTTTAACGTCGGTGGTTTCTCTCCAGTGTCGTCTGGTTTTCCCATTTATTTAGCTTTTCCCTTCTTGTGTAGGAGGTTTAGTTCCTCTCGTGTCTAGTCTTTGTGATTTGTGTTTGGTGTCTTTATCATGGATAAATGGAAATACATTCTGTTTTTCAAGGAAGAAGAAGAAGGTGTTACAACGGCGGAGGAAGAGGTTTGTGAAGAAGAAACTTTCCAAATAACCCTCACAGGGAAGTTATGGACAAACAATAACTTCAATGTAAGGGCTTTCACGAGTACGATATTGAGCACCTGGAAACTGAAGAACTCAGTTGAAACCCAAGAGTTGAACAAAAATCTATTTCTGTTTAAGTTCGCTACAAAAAGGGATCTGGAATTTGTTCTCAAAAACGGTCCATGGAGCTTCGATAGACAACTGTTGGTGCTAGAGCGTGTCTCTGGAGAAGAACAACCATCAGATCTGGACACGCACTTTGGTGTTTTCTGGGTCAGAGTGTACGACAGACCCCTTATGCTCATATTAGAAACAATGGCAAAAAAGATTAGGGGTATCGTTGGAACCTTTGAAGAGATGGACCAGAAGGAAGCTCATAAAAATGGGAGTTTCGTCATGATTAAAGTGAAGATGGACCTCAAGCAACCGTTAAAGAGGAGAACTGTTGTGTGCTTCAAAGAAAAGAATCTTAGGGTCTTCTTCAAGTACGAACGATTGCCAAACTTTTGTTTTGCGTGTAGGAGGATTGGGCATCTCCTGAAAGACTGTGAAGATTTGGAAGAATTGAGGGATGAAGGTTTTGAGGAGTTAGATGAACAAGACTTATCTTTTGGGCTTTGGCTTAGAGCATCCCCGCTCTCAAGGGTGACGGAAGAACCAAATAAAAAAGACTCAAGTTCAAGTACCTGTAGCAATAATCTTTTTAACATTTCCTCAAGCCATAGCAGGTGCGGAACAAAAGGGAAGGATAAAGAGGATGATGAAGTGGAATAACAAAGAAGTATTGATAAGGGAGGGGACGAGGAAGTAGGGAAGGAAATGGAACTCACAAAAGCTAATAGGATTGAAATTGAGTCTGTTGCGGAGTCTTTAGGAGCTGTGGAAATTTCTAACAAAGGGTTAGTTTAAGGAAGGTTCCAAGTGGGATTTGGAGAGAAAGTCCATCAAAGCTCTATCTTAAAGAAGAAAACGTGGAGCGGGAAAAAACTTCCAAAGAGATTAACAAGGAAGCCTGCAACATCAAAGCTTTTGGAGGTAGGTAAACAACAACTTGTTAAGGTTCCCATAGTGGAAGGATCTTTTGAAGATATGGAGTAGGTCATAAAGAAGAGAAGGAAACCGATGGAAGTGGATGAAACTAAAACTCATAGACAAGAGGTGGTGTTAGAAGTCCAACACTGCCTATCCCAATAAAAATTATAAGCTGGAACTACAGGGGGTTGGGGAATCCTCGTGTAGCTCGAGCCTTGCTATGGCTCACTCGTCTGGAAAATTACAATGTTGTCTTCCTCATGGAGACAAGGTTATGTGGTAATGAACTTCACAGGATTATACAAAAAACAGGGTTCAGTTGCTCTCAAGGAGTAAATTGTAATGGATAAGGGAAGTACAGGTTTGAGGGTCTTTTGTTGCTTTGGAACAAAGATATTGATATCACCCTTACCTCTTTCTCCCAAAATTATATTGGAGGTAACATTGGGGAAAGGGTGGACAAGTCGGCCTGGAGTTTTATAGGTGTTTATGGGTTCCCTGAAGAACAAAACAAGAGGGACACTTGAAGTCTTATTAGAGATATGGAGAAGGATGCGGGGACTTCTTGGATTTTCTTTGGAGATCTGAATGATATCCTGGAAAATAATGAGAAACAGGGGGAATTAACAAAACTCAAAGTCAGTTGTAATGGGGGAGAAATGCTATTGAAGAGTGTGGGTTGAATTACTTGGGTTTTGATGGTTATCCTTTCACGTGGTCAAATGGTAGAGGGGAGGAGAATAACATCCAGTGTAGACTTGATAGGGTGTTGGCTACCCAAGTTTTCATTGAGCAATTTTCACCGTTAAAGGTCCACAATCTCCCTAGATTTGGGTCTGATCATGTGGCTCTTAGGATTTATCTGGATGTCATCATGGAGAGCAACAACGAGAAGCAAAAATATCTTTTCAGGTTTGAGGATGTATGGATGAAAGACAACAGATGTGCGAACTTGATCACGAGTTGCTAGAATGATGTAGGCCAAAGTGGTGTGCAGAAGATTAAATATGTTCAAATTCTGAGTGAATTTTTCAAGGAGTATAAATCAGGGGCAGTGAAGAAAGAACTTGGGAGAATCGAGGAGAAACTGAAGGATAAAGGAAATTAAGAGCCTGGAGAGGATAGCATTGCGGCCTACAAAGCATTGGAAAGATAAAGGGATGAGCTTTAAATAACTGATGAAATTAATTGGAAGCAAAGAAGTCGTGCTGTGTGGTTAAAAGAGGGGGATAAGAACACAAATTTTTTCCATGGAAAAGCCTTTCAACGGGAAAAAGTCAACAAAATCCATAAGCTGAAGGATGATAATGAAGTTTGGTGGTCAAGAGGGAAGCATTGTGAGAGACTACTAAACAAGTACTTTTCTGATATCTTTGCAACCTCTTCCTTAAAAAATATTGAGGATTCTTGTGAAGTGGTGAGGGATAAACTATGTATGGACCATATGAACATTTGTAATAGAAACTACAGTGAACTTGAAGTTGACATGGCATTACACCAGATGCATCTGTTGAAAGCACTTGGCCCTGACGGATTGCCAGCTCTCTTTTTTCAAAAGTACTGGCACATGGTTAGGAAATATGTGAAGGATCTTGTGCTGAGAATTCTCAATAACAACCAGGATCCTTCAGAGATCAATAACACCTTCATTTCCCTTATTCCCAAAACCAAAAATCCATCCTCCCCCAAGGATTTTAGACCTATTAGTCTTTGCAATATGGTTATGAAGCTAGTTACAAAAATCATTGCAAATAGATTAAAGATGATCCTCCCTGAGATAATTGATGACGAACAAAGTGTGTTTGTCAAAGGCAGGTTGATTATCGATAACACATTAATTGCCCTCAAATTCTTTCATTGGATGAAGAAGAAGACAAAAGGAAAAAAAAGGGTGATGGCGTTGAAGTTGGATATGTCTAAAACGTATGACGGACTTGAATGAGACTTTGTTATTAGGGTTCTCAAGACCGTGGGATTTCCATATTCAATGGTCCAGCTGATCTCAAGATGCATAAAAACTGTCTCTTACCAAGTGTTGGTGAATGGCCAAGCCAATATTGTCGTAACTCCTGAAAGGGGGCTCCGGCAAGGAGACCCTCTTTCTCCTTATCTGTTTGTTCTGTATGTTAATGATTTATCAGGTATGCTTAGGAAGGAGGCAAGATCAAGGAACATTCATGGAATATAGGTGGCAAGAACAACTCCAACAATTTTTCATCTTATTTTTGCGGATGATAACCTGCTCTTCACAAGGGCCTGTGTCAGAAGCAGATAGAGTTATGCATTTTTGCGTAGGTACCAAGATTCTCCGACACTGATGGTTAACCTGGATAAGTCTGAAGCTTCATTTAGTCAAAATATGGTTGATAATGAAAAAGATTTTATCCATAACAGGATGGGCGTAAAGACAATGGAAGCTCATGCTAGATATCTTGGGTTACCGGCTATGTTTGGAAGATCAAAGAAGGTCGTCTTTGCTCAAGTGATCGACAAAGTTTGGAAGAAGGTCAAGGGCTGGAAGGAGAAAGTGCTATCTAGGGAAGGAAAAAAGGTGTTGATAAAGTCGGTGGCACAAGAAATACCAACTTATGTTATGGGGTGCTTCAGACTTCCTAATGATTGTTGCAAAGAGATAGAGGCTTTGTTAGCAAGATTTTGGTGGGGCTCTTCTAAGAAGGAAAAGAGGATCGATTGGGTTAGTTGGTCTAAAATGAATAGAGAAAAAAATTAGGAAGGAATGGGTTTTAGAGTAATAAATAATTTCAATGTTATCCTTTTGTGTAAGCATTACTAGAGACTGATGACTGGGAGTTCCTCTTTGCTTGAGCGTGTTTTTAAAACTCATTATTATCCTAGAACTTCTATTAGTGAAGACAAGCTGGGATACACCTCTAGATATGCCTGAAGGAGTATTTTAGGAGCAAAAGAGGTGGTGGATATGGGGGCTAGATGGATGATTGGAAATGAGAGAAAAGTGGATATCTTGAAAGATAATTGGTTGTCTTCGGTGTCAGGTTTTAAAGTTATGGGACCAGTTAGAGGCATTGAGCAAGGAGCTATTGTCAGTGATCTAATTGATAGTGATCTTCGTTGTTGGAATCAAGAACTCATTTCTGATTGTTTAGGTCCTGTGACCTGTTCTCATATTTGCAGCATACCTCTATCATGGAGCAACTTAGAGGATTCAATCATTTGGCATTTTGAAAAAGATGGCATGTTCTCTGTGAAGTCAACATACCACTTACTGCGTAAAAACGTGATGCTTTTATCCCAGGGCCCTCTAGTCATTCCCGGGAAAAGTTATGGAAGATAATTTGGAGGAGTCCAATTCATACCAGAATCAGGAATTTTCTTTGGCGACTAGCAAAAAATGTCCTCCCAACTCGTGCAAATCTGGTAAAGAAAGGTGTGAAGACATCTCCTGAGTGCCCTCTTTGCCACAGAGAAGCTGAAATTGTTAATCATCTCTTTTTCCACTGTGTCCATAGCAAGATAGCGTGGTTTTCCACCCACTGGGTCTTAGGGTAAATGCTAATTCAGGGGTGGATTTCTGGCTGGATAAAGGCTTGGTAGATAATGACCCCTTGGGCACTCAATTGTTTTGTGTCACTTTGTGAAATTATGGCACCATAGAAACTTGGTGGTGTTTAACAATGAAAGTTTACACCCTCGTTTGATTGCTGAGCAGGATAGAGATTGGTTTTTCGAGTTCAACAAGTCAAACTCGTCTCAGAAACCGGTTAAGAGGGCATCTACAAATATGGATGTGAGCGACGAAGGTGCTGGCATGGTGAGAATATTAGTGGATGCATGGGTTTTTAATTATGGCACCATAGATATGGGATATGTGATGAAAAGCCATGAGAATGGAACTTTATTCTCTGCAACAAAAAGGGTGAGTATGGATATTGACCCCTGTTGTACCCCAAAATTTCCCCTCCCATTTTCTTCAAAGCATTCTTCTAAGATTCTCAAATACTCAAGGATTCTCAAGAGTTGACTGGTCAAACCTCCTCCTAAGCAATGAATCCACAATTAGGGTTTGGTTTTTCTTAAGTAAGATGGATTTGTAAGGGGCTCAAAGGACTTTTATGGGTCCTTAATAATTCTTATGTCAAGTTTCAAGTCTTGCATCACATGGTTGCTCAGCCAATTGCTTAGATGATTGAAAGTCAACTACATTAGGTAAAAAGTCAATAGTGGTCAACATACAGTCAAACTTCATGATTTTTTTTGGAAATATCAACATTTTGAGGTGATATTCATCACTTGATCAAGGGTTGACCATGATTCCTCAAGTAAAGCCCTCAAATCATCAAAGATAAAAAATTGTCAAAATTAGGGTTTTGATTGAAGATGACTGATCATTGACTGTTGGCCTAGTACATGACCTAATGGCTTGAAGCATGATCTCAAGGACTAAAATACAACATCTTGACATAATTACATGGCTCAAAACATTTCCAAAGGTTCAAGTGATTGATAGTTGAAGAATTGAATCAACTGATGAAAAGTCAACAGTCACTCAAAAGTCAAACTTTGACTTTTTGATCAACATTGGAATTCAAAAGTCAAGAATCATCAAGATATTCAAAAATATCAAAATTGATCATCAAGAAATCAAAAATTCAATAAAAATCAAATTTGGAAAATTTTCCAACACTTAGAAAAATTCTAAGTGTTTTTGTTCTTAACAAAAACCCTAACTTCACAAGCAAGTTTCCTCAAGATGCAAGCTAATTCAAGGAAAACTTTCAACATGAAAGTTGTAGGGATTGATTAATTCTACAACTTTGTTAATTTGATATGATCCTCAAAAGTTATTTATTTAAGAGATATAAGCTCATGAAGTTATGGTGTTTTTTATCCAACACTTAGAAATTTTTTTACAAGTTTTGATCAGATTTTTGTCCCAACTTCATGGTCATTTTTCACCAAGTTCCCATTTGATTTAGAAAAAACTCATAACATGAAATTTGTAGAAAATGTTTCAATATTTCCAAAATGTCCAAGAACACAATTATGTCATGCTTGAGCAAGGATAATTGAAGAGATGAAGTTGGGTATCTAAAGTTGCATTATAGGTCATTTTTATGACAAGTTCATAACCCAATCTTCAAGCCATGCTGCATAATCCCACTTTTCAGGCATCTAACCTCCAAATCTATCCATAATCAGAAGATTATACATACTTTTGAGCCATGATCCAATTGATTAAAGCTTTATCCAACCCAATTTTCCATTTAATGGAGAAAGGTTACATTTCCATTCTTGTAAAATCACAAAGTCAACTTCTTGAGCTCCCAACTTGTTGATATGAGTACAAGAAATATCTAACATCATAAGTAACCTCCCTGCACCCAAAAAACCACAGATCATGCTTGTACTTGAACCTTGGAACCATAGAAACTCATCCAACTTGATTTTTCACTTTTTTAAACCATAACTTGTTATCTTTGAATTATGGTTACTTCAAGCCCTCAATCCTTTTCTCTATAAATAGAGAGGTTATTTGCAAGCTAAAATACGATTTTACAAGCCCTTTAACCCTCTCAAACTCTCCCAAGTCATAATTACACACAAAACCTCCATTCTTGAGCTTTGAAGTCTAAATCTTTGAATCTCTCAAACCTTACAACTTTTATCCAAAACAATTATCCAAACACTTCATATACATCATATATAACTCATTTATACCCTTGTTTCCTCACTGTAACATCATCTTCATCATCCACCATTTTCAAATTCCAACTGTTCAACTTGACTTGGTTGGAGTGATTCAGCCACTCTCAGCACCAAGTGATCATCCAAACAACTTCTTCAGGGTCCAAGCAAGCTCACCAAATCATGATTTCACCTCTGGAATTCTTGTAGGGAGCATTCAGATTTCGTATCAAGAGATAAGTTTTCCAAACATTGAAATCTCTGTACAAGCATCATTTACATTTATTTTCCAAAACAAAAATGTAGATATCAATGCCCTGAAATAACCATGTCCTTAGTTTTCATTTATGTTAACTGTGTGATGAGAATTTTGAAATTGAAGTTTTTGAAAAAATTAGGTTTCATTTTGGTACCAAGTAAAATTCGTCCTAATCTTTGATTTATAGCTTTTGAAAATTATATGGTTGGATTACTTGTTAAAATCAAGCAAGTTTGATGTTTACATTTTTTAATTTGGTTGAGAAATGAGCATTTTTTGAAGAATCAAAGATGAAAGTTATGTTGTTATACAGCGCGAGGAAGAAGAAGACCATGGCACCAGATTTCAAATTTAAAAATTGAGTTTATAATATATTTATTGGTGGCTGTTTTATAACCGGATGAAACAGCCACCCAAATGGCAAGTGCGCTTGTGTGTAGGGTGTTAGTATGTCAGGGTAGGGGTTCGATCCCTACCTCTGACATTTTATTTTTCAACATGTTCTTTGTTAATCAGGTGCAAGCAAGTTCAAAGCGTGCATGATATACCTGTGATATGGTGGGAGAACTGACTTGAAGGTTTTGCGTTCGATCACAAATGTTGCGGCTAGCAAGAGTCGCCATCGACTTTTCTTTTATCCAAAAGGAAAGGTGAAAAAGCACGGGAAAGACCTTTGATATTGTTTCTTGAGCTCGGGGGGTAGATTATGAAAAGGGAAGGTATTAGCATCCTTTTCATCCATGGTTTTCCATGGGCTCTTAGTTACTTGCTAGATCACTTACTTTTGTTTGAAATTGTGCTTTGTATGGTTTTTGAAAGTATTTTGTAAAGAGACAATTGTTTAGGCAATCTTTGTAATGATTTTTGTTTGTAAGAATGTATACAAAGATGTTTGATCTTTTGAAAATGTTTTCAAGTTTGTAAGATGTTTGAAAGTGTATGTGTTTGTTTTGAAAATAGCAAGGATGTTTGTTTTGAAATGGAGCAAGTAATTAGGAGCAATCTACCTACTCAAATGTCTTTCTTGTTCATTTTCTATTCCTTTGACATTGTTGTCTTACCATTGATTTGGTAAGAAAACCTATCTTTGGATGTAAATGGGACAGGCGTGGGTCACCGTATAACCATGATTAGCAATGTTACAAGGTATCTTAGCATTATTTTTTAGGGACTAAGATCATTTGAAAGGAAACTTAGATAGCGTCATTGAGGGGCTATGATGTTGTATTTTATTGTTTTTGCTAAGATACCTTACATGCGTAACATGGTCATTTTGTATAAGACAACCAAGTGGAATAACCCTAGGGGTGCTTGTGTGCAAATGTATCATCTTTATGCTTATTTTTGTCTTGAATTAGGGTTTTCTAGGTATTGGTTTTAGTCTTTCCATACAAACCCTAATTACTAGCATTTGTATATAAAAGTGATAAATTGCGGAATTTTAAAGTTACTATGCTATTATAACATTTGTGGGGAGGGGTGTACAAATTGAATGGGGATTGCAATAATATAAACCTAGTTAATCTATTACAACCAAATTGAATGGGTATTAATGTACAAGGAATTAAAATAAGTAATGTATAAAATGAATAAGTATGCAATAATGTGAAGGTGAAGAAAAATGAATATTTGTTTGATTTTTTTAGAGAAAAAGGAATTTGTTTTAACCTAATTAATTTAAAGAAAATAATTAATCAAGTTTAAATTTATTAAGAAAAGATTTTTGAATAAAACCCTAATTTTATTTAGTTGATTAAAAGAAAATAAGTTTAGAAAAAAGTATTTTTGGTATTTTTGTCTTGAAAATATTCATAGCATTATAAAATATTTTTGGTCTTTTTTATATTAAAGTAATACATTTTAATGGGTGTAAAGAGAAAATAGATATTAACCTAGTTTTAATTTAACTTAGAAGATTAGTTAATAAAAATAAATAATGTATAGTTAAATAAAAATATTTTGTGAGAAAAATAAAATGAAATAAGCCAAAATATAAATCTATCATTTTTTATATTTTTTTTATGATTTTTAATATTTAGAAAAATATTTAAGAAAATAAATGAAATAATAAAAAAGAAAATAAAATAAATTGGGCCAGGGGCGTATAAAGGAAACAGGGGGTTAGCTAGCAAAAATATAAAAAAAAGTCAGGCCCAAAGAGGCCCAACACCCTGCAAACAAAAAAAGTCAGAATTGTAAAACATGTAAAAAAATGAAAAAGGGTACCACTGGGGCTCGAACCCAGGTCCCATAGGTTACAGGCGCGCGCTTCTACCACTGGGGTGGCTATACATCCGTTAATATAAGAAAAACAATAAATATGTAAGGCAAAACGCACCCTGACGACTTCATCTTCAACCTCCAGCCAGACCAACTGTAAATTGCTCATT